CTGCTCTCTCGCCGTGGTGTCCTAGATCCTTCTCGCCCCAAATCCACTTACCTTTTAATCCTCATCATACTTGCTACTCCTCCCACCGAACCTTTTCCCTCCCAAGCTCCTCCTGTCCTTGTCCCTGACCCCTCCCAAGCTAACAACTGAACATTCCCATCAGGTTCCCTACCTTGTCCCCCAGGACCCACAGGGGCCGTCCTTGTGGCTGCTGTCACTGTCGAGGTTGTCCAGCAGCAGAGGCATCAGTTGGGAGGTGTGGACAGGGCCCAGGGCAAAAGGAGGGTTGGCTCTCCGAACGGGTGGGGGGCTGAAGAGTGGTGGGGTCGCTGCCACCCTCTGAGCACCCTCAGTCTGCTGGGTTGGAGCCAGGGTCTGGCCCGATGTCAGGAGCATGGCGGGCTCTAAGAACAGAAGGGGAAGGGACTGTGATGGTGAGCACAGGGAGGCGGCTCTGGGCGTGCGCAATGCCCGGGGCCCCCTGAGTCGGCCCCACTGGACCAAAACAGCGGGGAGATTTGGCCACTCCCACGTCTGTCAAAAAAGACCCCTGTCTTCGCTTTCCTCCTAGCTGCCGTGTCCCCCAGAATAACCCTCAGAAGGTGGTCAGCTCACCCGGAAGAGTGTCCAGAGGTGGCTCCTGAGGGAAGGTACCAGGCTCTGGGTCCATAGGCACAGGAGGTGGCTCAGCTGCAGAGCTGGGGGCAGACAGAAGGACGACTGCTGTCTGAACGGTCCTTGGATTTGCACCGGAGCCTCAGTGCAGGGAAGGGGACACCAGAGTCCACAGCTCTGCCCCCCTCCAAAGCACTGGCAACCTCCCCACCCAATCCAGCCCAAATCCCTGTAGATTTTAGCCAGCAACTCCGGCCTCAGTCCCAGCCTTCCAGCACTCGCCTAGGCCCCAGGATCCCAGCCTAGACCCCACTTCCTACCTGCAGGATGATCCACCTCGAGGAATTCTCACCTGCACTGACTGCCGGAGGGGGCGGGGGCGGGGGCGGGGCCTGCAGGGTCGTCCTTGCTCTCCTTCCCATTCACCTTCTCCACTTTTCTCCACTTTGCCCGGCGGTTCTGGAACCACACCTGTAGGGAGAGACGCTTGAAGAGCCCGAGAAACGGGGCAGAGACGAAGACTCTGGTCCTGACTGTCACATGATGAGCTACATAACTTTAGGAGGTCACGTCACCCCTGGCTTCAGATGCCTCTGTCAGGTTGGTTTTACAGAAGGTTCATCTACACAGCCTCTGAGGCACTTTCCCCTTCTGATGTTCTCGGCCTGCAGGAATGTGAAAGCAGGCGACACACAGCCCTAATGCGATCTGACTTCAGCCCGATGCAGGGAGATGCCGAGCACTTGCTCTGCTCTTCAGAGTTCCAGTTAGTGGGTTCTCCCCCACCCCTCCGGCTGCCTGGCCCCCTTTACCATGATGCGCTGGGGGGTGACCCCCACCGTCTGGGCAATCTCTCGGCGCTTGTCACTGTCAGGGTAGTGGTCTTCTTGGAATATCCTTTCCAGCTCCTCCAGCTGGTCTGGAAGAAGATGTGGCAGGAGAAGAGAAAGACAGAAGCCTTCCAGAGGGACCACGGTCCTCGGCCCAGGCACCCCCAGGAGTCTGGCCACTAAGTCTCCCGCTGGGCTGGAGCCTGCCCTCTCGGGGCGCTGTGGGCGGGCGCTGTGTGCTGTTTTCGTTCCCATCCCTTCTGACCAGGTCCCAATTTCACTTTCTGATGCGGCCACCCAACCTTCCCCTCGGAGGGTCAGAGGCCGCGGCCCTGCCAGAGGTCAGGAGAGGATCCAGGACAAGGTGATGTACAAATTAAGCGCCCTCCACTCTCCTGGGCCAACATTCCAGGGAGGTTGAGCCCACCTTTCCCGGACATGACCCCAGGCCCCTTAGGGTCCTCTCACCTTCACGAACTTACCTGAGCGGTATAGGGTTCGAGTCTTTTTCCGAACGTGACAGGCTGCCTCCGGGGGCCTCTTCTGGTCTGTATTTTGGCTGTTCTGGGCCAATGTGCTGAGGAGGTTGGCCAGGTGGCAGGGCCCCCGGCCTGACCCACAAGGCACTGGGTTGTGTGTGGCACGGGCTGGGTTGGTGACACTGGGAGATGACGTTGAGGCTGGACCCACGGCAATAGGCTTTTTCTGCTTCCCAGAGCCCGGAGAGCGGGGCCTCTTCCCTGGCTTGGCCTCTCTCCCGGAGAGGGAGCAGCCATCCCCCTGAAGCTGGGGTCTAGGCAGGACCAGAGCTCCATCTTTGTGGGGAGCCCCTGAGCCGGGCGGCTGGCACACTTTCAGGGCATCAGTCCCAGTTAGCTCTCCAGTGGACTCTGGTGGCTTCTCCTCCCCAGAGACGGTGCAGGAGGTGGGCAGTTCCCCACTCGGGGCGTCCCGAGTGTTGGGGGCTGCACTCTGCAGTGGCGCCTCCTTCTCCGGCCCAGCAGCCAGGGGCTGGCCTCCGCCTTCCGGGCCTGTGGGGAGCCAGCACCAACCTGCCTTAGCACCAGGGAGAAGGAAGAGCCTGCTCCCTGCCGTGTAACCGGTTTCCTGTTTGATCTGAAGTGTTAAGTCATCTATGTGGTGAACGGGATGATAACTCCAGGTGTACCTTCCTAACGTGGCTGTTGTGAGAACCAAATTCGATAATCCAGCTGCTTTGGAAAATGTGAGCAAGTTTATGCAGCGCTAAGGGCGTCTTCACTCACATCCACAGGAAGTGGGTCAGCAGCCCTAATGGCAGAGGGTACTCACTTCCTGCGAGTTTGCTGTTTTGTTCCAGACACCTGGAATATGTGTTTGCGGGACAAGCATCTATCCGTTCAGGCATTTCTAAGGGACAAATGTTGGGGCTGGCTGGGAAGAAAGATTACGATTCTGCTTCTTCTAAGACTGGATCTTGTTCCTGCCCCAGGTGTAGACGTTACTGCTCAGAGTAAAGACGAGGTGGGATGGGATGGCCTCGCAGAAGCCCAGGCGAGGGCACTGGAGGCGCCAACAGATCAACCGTCTTCACCTTGCACAGAATTCACTGTTCTTGCCAACCTCCTCACCTCCATGTGCACCTCCTGCTCCTTCCCTAGAAAGCAGAGCCCCAAGAGGGGCCTAGGGCCTGGGCCACCTCCCTTATACAGGGAAGTCAGGGTGACTCAGCGGGCACGGAAAGCCCCTATCACTCACCAAGTGGGCCAAGCTTGCCTGTCTTGGAGCTAGGACTGATTCATCAAATGCTTACTGTGTTCCAGGCACTGTGCTAAGCACCTTTCAAAGACGAACGCGGTATGCATTTAATCCCTGGGAGGAAGGCACCATTCACATCTCATTCCAACAGGTACAGGTTAGAAATCTGAGTAACTTGTCCAGGATCAGACAGAGCTGCGCTCTTCATCTCCATGCACAGTCCTTCCCAGGGCCGGCCTCCCCCTTCGCCTCCCCGCTCACTCATAACCCCCCAGAACCCTCCGGCCCAAGGAGCCGCTTCCTCTTTTCCAAATAAACTGGAGTGTGTTTTAAAATGGATGCTAACTAATAACTAAGGGCCATTGTTATTTCAATGAAAATTGCGGGCGATACAAAGGCGGAAGGAATGGCTGCCTCCCACTGTGTATAGTAGGCTGGGCCTGCGTGGGCCAGGGGGCTTTGCCGCATTGCTCAGCAGGGCGCCCGAGGGACAGACCAGCAGCAGGGGCCTGAGGCTGGTGGAGGGCGCGCGGGCCTGTGCGGGGCGAAGGGGCATGGCCGCACGGTGGCAGGGGGAAGGAGGCGCGGATCGGTTTTACGGCATGTTAGGAGAGCTAGTAGCCTAGCAAACCCAGTACAGAGTAGGTGATCGATAAATGCGACGTATGAGAGTGACAAGCCCGATAAGAAAGGCGACGGTGTTGGAAGCCAGACTAGAGTGTTCTGGGACTCCGGCCTCGCGTTTTCTCCCCCGCCTGGAGAGATGGGAACCTCCGGGAGGAGGGCGCCCCAGCCCCTCGGCCTAGCCAAGCTCTAGGGTGGGCTAGGACGGGAGGTGGGGCCTGAGCCCCCGCCGGCGCTGACCCCAGCCCGCCCCGCGCGCGCCCCGCCTCGCCCCG